ATTCTAAGCGTAATTATTAAAAATATATATATATATATATATATATATATATATATATATATATATATATTATAAAGAAAAGAAAAGAAAGAATAGAACACACCGACTGCACTGAAACGGCTCGAGCGAACTCCGGAAGTCGGGTTGCCATATTGTTTTTCTTTACTGGCTTCCTTAACTCTTCCAGGCTTGCGGTTTAACGTGAATGCTCACCTGGCGATGACACGAAATATTTTTTAAATGTTTAAACGACGAAAAGAAAAAAAACTTAACGATATAAGTAAAAGTGTCGAAAGTGATTCAAGAAAAGAGAGAAAAAAAATGAAAATATTCATTGATCTGTAAGATCGATGATAAAGCCCTCTGAATCGCATCACGTCGGTCCTTGGAGAGTTAAGTCCTGTTTCCTGTTCGCTCGAGACGACCGATTAGAATTTAAGCTGTACTTGGTTACTATATCGACGGATAAAAAAAGAAAACGTCGAGGGGTTGCTCGGTACAGATGTTTCGTGCAAACGCAAGCAAGCGCCGGGTTCCGTGGTCCGGTCGTTTCCAAAGAGCCGCCGGGGCGTTCGAAACGCCCCGGCGGGAACAGGGATGAATTTATGAAAGGGGTGAAAGAATGCAAGACGAACGAACGACGCGCGATATTTATTTAAATAACGAAACGCGAGAAGAGAGTTAAAACTCACGGCGAAAACGACTCGACGTTTAGATACTACAGCGAGCCCGGTTTTCATCGTAAAGAATAATATTATTCGAGATGATATATTATCTTTCTGGATAATGTATTAAATTTGAGAAAATAATTTATTATATTTAATAGCGTATTATTGTATAGAACGGCGATGAAACGTTGCACCGCGTCCAAATAAACAATAAAAATCGTCGGGGGGAGGAGAGGGAATTTGCTTCGAATGAAAGTGGATAGATTAGAAGCGTGTCTCGCCCGGGACGTGGCACGAGAACATAGACGAAAACGACGAAAAAAGAAAAAAAAAGAATATTGTGGTGAGAGGTGGAAGTGCAATGTTTTATTGTTATAACGTATAATTCCACTAGCGCGATGCACGGAACGCGGCCACCAAGAGCAAGGAAACAAGTCTTCATACTATTTGCATAATTGCTTTATTGTTATACGAACATTGTAAACGGTAACATTTACGATTAATGGTAACGAGAATATTAATCCGGGCGGTATCCATCGACCCCGCTTCCGGTGCTTTCAAGACATTTGTTAACAAAGAGAATGGAAAAACGGTATTGTATGCATTTCATCCATTTTTCACGTGGCACGAGGATTGATCTTCCGTTCGTTGACCAATCTTGACATTGACTGATTCCTAGACTATGGATATTAGATGTTTAGGTCTTAAATATATAAGCCGGTTTTATGTTTTTGAGTTTATTTCGCTGGACGAACATTTTTCTACAGTTTCCATTTCACGTGTAATTTTTCATGCACGAATACTTGTGTAGGTAATCGAATATTCGAGTAATTTGCGGAACGGAAATGACGCTTTGCAAATGTTCATGTTTGAAGTGACGTCAGCAGAAAATTATACACAGACATATCCGGTTATTGAGCATTGCACGAGTTGAAACATCGATAACAGGTGTCTTTTTTAATCCAGATTCAAAGCTACGATCTTTTGTCTGCAATTGAAACATAAAAAACGAAAGAATGCTGCCTAGTGCATTCTGCGTTTTTGATTGCGTGGGCGATATCGTTTATAACGTGCAAATGTGCTGCATATGTTTTATTCATGCAAGTAATGCATAAATATGGTAACGCGAAAGCAATATATGATGGAGTGTTGGAGGTTTTATAATAGGTACACGAAAGTACTGAAAACAATGAGAATAGGTATTATAATAGAATTTCGTACAACTTAAATTATATTGAACTCGATACATTTCTTAACGGAGAAAATAAATTTCACTTTAGTATGTTTTTTTAGTATCACGTATTAAAATATGATTTCGCTTAAAGGTTGCTTTCATGTTTTAAAAATTAAAACTGTTATAAACTAATAACATTACATAATATTGTGACATTTAAATAAGTTTTCTTTTTTAATCCATGCTCACAAGTTAAAGACTCTTGCTTAAACAAAGGAAAGTTTATGTTCCTGTAGAATATTTTATTTCAGTGGGAATACAAATTTATTCCAAGCTTTTGAAAAACGATGATGCATTTAAATATCATATGTACCTTCGATCATTAATATTTATAGCTCAAGCTAAAATATTATAATAACCGTCTAAAACGGGTCAAGTGACTTGATCTTTGTAATTGAAAACACAAATGCAACGTCCATTTAATAGCTATTCGTTGTTCACTTAACCTTCGTACACAGTTAGGGTCAATTTGACCTGAAGAGAACAGTTACTTTGAACCATTTCTTTCGCGTTACAAAAATGTAGAAATAACCATTACTCCAGGAATATTAACCCTTTGCAGACAAGGATTCTTTTGCATATAAAAAAACCTTCTCTACAGGAAACCGAATTATACATCTAGTTCTTAAATACTAGAAAAGAAGAAGGCTATGTAGTGATCCCATATTATTTAAATCACTCAATTACTTATTTATAACTTCGGATTCTAAACATGAAAACCTGGCATTGCCAATATGGCGGCAATCGTCGGCAAAGGGTGAAAGTAGCAGTTGCTTGAATATTATAAAATCTCGCACGAAACTGTTTCCTTTATAAATCCACTGCATATTTAAAAAGATCGCATAGACTGTTATAGAAAATAATCTGTACGTTAAAACTGAAAGATCGGTCCTCGCGCCTGCACCCTTCGAACACCCGTTCATCTGTATATGTTATCTCCGCGCATTGAACTCACCTCTTCCCATCAATTGTGTCTTGAATTCGCCGGTATGCGTTCTAGCTATATCGCGACACGTTCACGTATTTACGAAGGCAAGAGCATTTCGATTGCATAAGACGATACCTTATTTTCCCTTGTTTTTCTACGTACTTTGTATATGTCCTGTCATCGTCCGTCAAGGAACGGTGTACGATTATTGTGTGGTGAAAAAGGTTTGCCACGACTCACGTTCATTTTACTGCTAATCAACCTAATATTATTGAGCCGAGACTCGTTAACGATGACGGGGAACAACTTTTCTTGCCGTCGTTAACGTAACGAACCTAGAGACGACGCGATTCGAACCTATTTATTTCATTTCACACCATACTCTGGGTCGCAAAAAACTATCTAGCCATCTGTGTGACCGAAAAAAGGGAACCATGACTAAAATGGTTTCTCTTAGTGGCTCCGAATGTCTAGTATCGTTTGGACTCGTTTTACAGTCCGAAAGAGAGATTCCTTTGAAACCCGGTCCCTTGTCCGATGAAATATCGAATTTCATTGTCGCGATACCTGTTTTCCTCAGATTTAATCACGATGGTACCGAATTTATTCATTGTGCGACCCTGCAAAGACTGTAATCCGTATGAATCGAGTCGTGTCGTTTCGTAACATTATTATTGTTCTTTAAAAAAGTAACGTATAGTAAAACCTCGCAAATCTGTCGACGTTGGGGAAGCAATCGACCGGTTTCTTAGAAACTAGACAGGCATTGGATTGCGCCAATAGAGAAGTACAAATTATTAATGAGAGGTAGTGAGCGCGAGAGAGGGAGAGAGAGGGAGGGAGAGCATGAGAAACTGAAAGAGAGAAAGGAAGAGAAAATGCGAGAAATTGAAAGAAAGAAAGAGAGAGAGAGAGAGAGAGAGAGAGAAAGGAAACACGTGTGAGAGATATAGAATGCGAGTGAAAAGGAGAAAAAGGGAGAGTGAGAGTGTAAAAGAAGAACCGCAAATGCGAATAAAATCAATCATTCGAGAATGATATGTGACCAATAACGAATGAGGTGTAACGTCTGATGTTTAGTTTCATCGCTTTTTATTCATTACCTTTGATTATATTATTGCTTGTAATATTAATTCGAGATACCTTGAATACAAAAAGTAATAAACAATGTTAGCCCGTCTCTTACATTTTGTATCCCATATGTTCCACTTTCAGAATATGTCCAATAGTGTAGTACCTTTATTTTTATTTTTAAAGTATAGTATTTTGAGAAATAATATTTTATACATATATTTAAAATTTTATTTTTATTGATTCTCTATTTTATAAATTGATAATAATGTTGATAAGAATTGTATTATTGTTAATCATTTATAAGTCAATCATTCTTAATGATTTTTCTTGATTGTTTTCTTCAATACATTCTCTTTTTCTTTTTTTGAAAATGTGCGAATATTATTCAAATCTTCGGTTTCTAAGTCCTTATATTTTCTGTTTCTTCTCTTCGCAAGTGTTTCCTTTTTACAAATGTCTACGAATCAGGGATTCATTGCTTCAGTGACTTGACTGCTAATTCTTTTATACTGTATACAAGTGATTTCTACATTTTAACATTATTCTTGTTGATTATTTGTTATCGTATCTCTTTGTATATATTTATTTAATTATTAATAAGTGCGATAAATGAATAAATTATTTATGTTTTTTTAATTTAATTGCAGTATGTTTGATAGTTAAAAAGGTTCATAAGATTTATCCTATTCGGCTATTACAATGGTTAATGTCTAAATGTTTTATTAATTTCTATTACTTCGAATTGCTAGAAAAACATGGGATCCAGCAGTTGGAAAAACTTAATTTTCAGAATATTATTGTTAGTGTAAAATTTCTTGCTAATATTGATACTTGTTTGTAAAATATTTACAATTTTTACTTATACTCTATCTTTCGACGAAGTATGTATACTTAAACATTCTCGAATTTTATTCAAAGAAATTAAAAGTACTTCGAGTAAAGTATTAATAATTGTGTACGAATTTATTATTTTTATGTTCCTTGTTTCCATTTCTTTTTAAATGTTTATTTAGTATATAAGCAGTATAAAAATTATATTCTTTATATAGAACGTGTGTAATTTATGTCATAACATGTTATCTACAGCAGACGATAAATTATGTTCCTTTACTTTATACGTTAGCTTAATTCTACGTAATTTTTATTGAATAAATATAAGCATATATGAACATGAAACTTAGCATTATTATTTTACAAAGCACAACATATTTTTAAGTCAAGAAAATTACATTAACATGTGAGAAGAAAGTCATATTATCCCCGTCTGCTGTGAACGTTTACGTCAAATAGGTTAGGTTAGAGCTGGTTAATTTGTGCAGAAACTATAGCTGTCACATAGTTGTAGTCTCGAGAGTAAAGTGCCATATTGCAATGATAAGAAAGGTTTCTCCACACCCTGAGATAAAGAGTTTGAATCATTGTTTAATATAAGAGACGATCAGTCTTAAGGGAAAATAACATGACGGTTATGCCGTCTGTCAATGTGGCAGATCACCGACAATAATATGAGAAACGGGTATCATTGTACGCCCACACGTCTATCGAATGTCGATAAGAACATAGCGGATTTCTTGTTTAAGACCGCACGTGCTGTACGCATCCACGATGAGTATTTTGAAAAAAAGGTAATCATTCATATACTTTAACCTGCTTGTAAATTTTCAATTACGAAGCTTCCTTTTCCAGATTAAACGACTTTGAAGATGTATTAAACGCTGAAGAAATAGATTTTGTCAGTATAAAACGATTATGCTTTCATGGTATGAATCTAATTATGTGTATTATCCTCTGTGTCTATTGTGTTGGATGCTGTGTACTTTATCCAGTTATCTTATATTGATGTTTATGAAAGTCATAGTATAGTTTAATGAAAATGTATTTATTATTAAAAACAAAAATTGTTATTAGGAATTCCTGATGAAGGAGGTTTAAGACCGTTATGTTGGAAACTTTTGCTAAATTATTTACCTCCAACTAGGGCCAGTTGGTCAGAAACACTTACCCGTAAAAGAATACTTTATAAAACTTTCATTGGTACTTTATAAATTTTTATTAATCATTATTTTATTTGGTATATTTAAAAAAAATAAGCTGTATTAATAATTCAAAGGTTTATTAATTGTAGAAGATCTGATTGTTACTCCAGGTGAAGCAAATGCGGATGGTGAAAGAGTAGATGTTACGCTTCATGATCATCCTTTAAATTTAAATCCTGATAGCAAGTGGCAAACTTATTTTAAAGACAATGAAGTTCTTTTACAAATAGATAAGGATGTTAGGTAAAACTATTATTATTATTATTACACAAATACCTTTCATAAACTTATCATTCTAAATATTTTCTTTATGTTTAATATTTCACTATAATACAAAAACCAAAGGTACTTTAATTTCTACTTGATATCTTCAACCAGTAATAACATTTACTACTATATTGTGGATAAAAAGAATCTTAAATAAATATGAGAAAGATTTTGTTGAAATATTAAAATTAAAGGAAATGTTTCAGCTAATACGGTTATATAGAAATTATATAATATGTTATTTTGAAGATAATAAAGTAAATACTTCTATAGGAGGCTCTGCCCAGATATATCGTTCTTTCAACAGGGTACAGATTATCCTTGTAAAGAGATTGTAAATGCCAGTGGCCAGAAACGTTTACATCATAGAGTACAATATACAGTTTTAAGGAGTGCAAATGTGGAACGAAAAGGTCTTGGTGTTACTAAGGTAATTAAATCTATAAGTAATATAACATAAACACAAAACTAATTTCATTTCCTATATTCACATGCTGATATGGAAAGCAGCAGGTAACATAATATAATTGATTAAAATAAAATAAATTATATATAATTTGTGAATCATAATTTTACGTGTCTTACAGATAGCTGTTTCAATTAGAAAAGCTGCAGAAGATTATGCACCGCTTACAGAGGGTGGCGAGGCACATTGGGAAGTGTTAGAACGAATACTTTTCTTATACGCTAAATTGAATCCAGGCCAAGGCTATGTGCAAGGAATGAATGAAATTGTAGGTCCTATTTATCACGTATTTGCTTGTGATCCTGATCAAAAATGGAGAGGTAAGATTTAAATATTTATTACTGTTTGTACATAATATTTTATACATACATAATAAACATTCAGATCAAGATAATTTATTATATGTCAGAGCTATGTGAGAAATTTTAATTTTTACTTAACTCAGACTCTTCGGGTATTGCTATGTAGTGTTATAATTGAACTGTCATTAATTATAAATATTTAAATAGGCACTGTATTCTTTTAAATATTTAATAATTAAATTTTATACTTCTCATAGAACATGCAGAAGCAGATACTTTTTTTTGTTTTACCAATTTAATGGGTGAAATTCGAGATTTTTTTATAAAGTCGTTGGATGAAGCAGAATTTGGAATAAATTCAATGATGAGTAAACTTACCATGCAAGTGAAAGCTAATGACCCTGAAGTTTGGATGCGTTTACGCCAACAAGAATTATGTCCACAATATTACAGTTTTAGGTAAGCTTACTTAGTGCACATTCTATTACATTTACATTAGAAATGTCTTTTAACTAAATGTACATGTAACTCAACAAAAATTTTTTATTAGGTGGCTGACACTTCTTCTTTCTCAAGAGTTTCCATTACCTGATGTCATGAGAATTTGGGATTCTCTATTTGCTGATGAGAACAGATTTAGCTTTCTGATACATATTTGCTGTGCCATGATCTTGTAAATATTACTTTTCTAAATATATTTCATTTTTTGTAGCTGATATATAAATACAAGGAAATTTTTCAGATTATTGAGGGACCAATTACTTGTGGGTGATTTTGCTACAAACGTCAAACTGTTACAAGTAAGTAAAATTTATAATAAATATGTAATTTCATTAGTTTCAAATGTACAGTCTGTTATTATTTGATGAAATCGTTAGTATTCAAAGATAGGTTAAAGCTGAAGATAACCTAAATAAAGGGAAAACTGAAAAATAAAAATTATCTATGAGATAATGATACTTGAATAAATTCTAATAAAAATTTTATTATTAGCAGTATGGATCGCCTAAACTAGGGATACTACACAAAATGGCATTAAAAAGAGGAGTAATTATTTTATTTTACTTTTAGAATTTTCCTTCAATGGATATTCAAATAGTGCTTTCCAAGGCTGCTGCATTAGCAGGGAAATGTTTAAATTCACCATAACATACAATTGTGCACGACTTTGTGCACGATTGAAAACGTAAACAAATGGAGGGTTTGAACTATTCAAAGGTATACATTTTCAATGCTGTTATTCTTTTTCTTTCTCTTTTTGCCTAACTTTTATATCAAAAGGTTTTATTTTATATACAAGGTGTATAAAAAAAGTGTTTAAAAAAATATTTCAACTGTTAATGTTAGACAGAAAAATTCTATGACAATTACACTTAGTAAATTCTTAGGTTTTTTTCTTAAATCCATTAAAATAAAAACAATTATATAGGGGAAAAGTAAAAGAAATATTATATTCATCTTGATAGATTTTATGTTGTTATATTATCCGTAAAAATCTGTTTTTTATCATGATATCATAACATTAATAGTTCATACATCACATTAAATAATATTTGCCTTAGGACACCTTGTGTACGTATAGAGCAGAATATTCTGCAGTAAATACTAGATTAGAATTATAGCATCGTTTTCATACGGGTATTTAAAAGATTACGATTGTCGTACGACCAAAAGATCGCTAGAATGAAATCGATGTAATAGTTCTACAGAATTCCTTAGCATAATAAAAACAATAATGACATCGTGTGAGAGAGTCGTTGAAATGTAAAATGATTTTAAGCAACGTTTTATACTCTAAAAAATAAAAATTTCTGCGTACAAGTAGGGTGGTTAAGATCCAAATTTAGCTCTCTGCTTCTTTATAAAATGGTGGAGAGAAATTCTTAACCCTTTACCAGAAACAATAGCTCTAGACTTGTGAATGTTGTTATTATTATTATTATTATTATTATTATTACAACTATTATTATTATTATTATACTTTATCGAGAAACATTCCTTATTAATTACAAAAAATTACATGCGGAGGGCGGTACATTTTGTAAAAAAGTTTTTAACTTTTTAGATCTTATAAATCTAGTTAATTCGAGTTTGTGCAGTAAATATCTATACGTGAATATGCTTAATATCCTAGTGAGAAGCTTGGTATGAAACTTCAGTACTAAAACCTTCCATCCACTACAGGGCTGTTAAGTTCGAAACTTATATCTAGTATAATAAGTAAAGATATATGAAAGCTTTTATAACATAAGGAAAAATTTTATTATATTATTATATAGTTTACTTTATTGTATTGCCTCAGTTTCTTGAGGACATAGTTATTCGACTGAATATTGTGTCATCCATGGTAAGAGACAGTGCTCAATTTGATGCAATACTATATCATCCATTGTTTAGGTATTAATGAAAATGATAGAGCGTGTAATTATATAAAGAAATGATATCAAGACTTTACTATGAATCTTTATAACTAATTATTATTTGAAATAATCTTAACTGCCAATGTTTTCATTGTTTTGTTTTTCATTCAATTAAATTACATACAGTAAGTACTATTATAAAATAAAAAATCAATAATTATGTTAATAAGAATTAGGAGTGTTTCTCGTTAAAGTTAAAGGCGAATGGAAAAACAACTGTGCTGTGAATGAAAGATTCAGCCATATTAAAAATGTAAGTCTTGTTACCCTTAAGCAAAAGAAGAGAAGAAATGTTTGTATGTTTGGATACTCTAAAAATATTTATTAGTAAATAAAAAATCA